CATTGATTAAAGTAATATATATATATATATATATATCATTGGGAAATGATAACAATTTTTTTAAAACATTTCTATTATACAATATCCAACATATGTTTGCGTCAAGTCATTTACTTATTTATTATCTTTCTTTTAAAGATAGCCAACAAATTAAAAAACATAGCTAATATTTCTTTAACTTCTTGATATTATTTCTTCTTTTTTATTTATGATAATATGTAAAATATTAGGAATTAGGTAAAATTAAGATTATTATTAAAAAAATAATGAGTAATTTAAAAATTAGGTAAAACTGTTTTTTAACTTAATTTTTAAATGATAGATACACAAATTTCTTTTTTAAAAAAAAGGCAAATAAAGGAAACGAAGGTAGTAGTTAACTTTATTAAAGAAAATGTGTTATGGTTAACAATCAGTGCACTTAATTCTTTTTATAATACACTTGTAAAAATCATTGAAAAATATAACAGATACGTATGACAGAAAAAAAGAAATGTAACAAGTTCTAATTTTAGATTAAAATATATTTAAAGTGCCACTGGTTAAAGTATTTTTTCTTAAAAATAAGTGAAAGTATATTAATACAAGAGTTTCTAATATACTCTTCTTATTTCCTAAAAATAATATTTTAGTAAATTAAGCTTGAATATGTTAAATCACTTAAAGATATCATTTGTTAACATATATTTAAAAAAAAAAAAAAAAAGTGATGAACGCTCACCATATTGCTGTATATATGGTGGATGCATCATGTGTGTTTCATCATGACATTGTGATTTTTTCTGTGTACACCTTAGCTTGTATTCCATTTGGAAAAATGATTCTGGTTGCAGGGAGGAAATACAAAGAATTAAGGCTAGTAATCCAGATATCAGCCACAGGGAAGCATTTAGCACAGCAGCCAAAAACGTGAGTTTAAACTTTATTACTATTTTTGCATATGCATTCCGGTATATGAGTGCATAAAAGTTCTGCATCTATTTTTCCCATCACATGTGGTGATTACACAATAAAAGATAGCTTTGTCGTTTATATGAACTCGGTGAAGAGGTTGAAATCCAATATCCCCACAATAATTGTAGAAACTTTACCAATAAAGCCATCGCCTCCTTCCACTTCGAGGCTGCAGCTTTGTATCAAACTTTTGTGTAGTAATGGCAACTGATCATGCCCTTCTACAGCTTCCAATAATGAGGGTTCCTCTTATTTAAGCATTTAATACGGTGATAAATACTAACACATGCATGTAGAGCTGAGAAATTATATATCACACCATGGTTTGCAGGGTTAAAATCGAAATATCAAAAAAAGTAACCTTTAAATTAATCTATGGAGTTATCCAAAAGAAGAGTTCCACATATTAGAATAAACTAAGAGTGTCATATATAAAGCTCTATACATGGCTAAAATAATGCAGAACTAAAAACCGTTGCTTTATTTGTTAGCATCAATATTGTATAAGCTAATATCTTGTTTAACCGAGAGAAGAACACTCCTGGGTTATGCTAAGCAGTTGATCATCTAAATTTATAAATAAGAAAAAGAAAAAAAGGAAACACTTGGAAGATCTATAAGATTCAATATTTTCCTTGCCTAAGTGATACTTGACTAACGCATTATATAAACTATATACGTGTTAATATTATATAGGTTGGTGTTATTTACGCATCACATTTTTTACACATTGTAATAACATCAATTTCAGTATACGTACGTACACAATTATAGTAGTACAATGATGTGATCAGTTCTCAATATATAGGGCTGACTGGGTTTAATTTGAAATGAAAATTAAATTTTGCTAACTAATAAGTTAAACTTTAATAAAATACAGTTTAATTTATTTGATTCATGATCAACGATGAGTTATGTAAATTATCTTGAATAAAGTCCCATTTTAGGTTTTAAGATTATTAATGTTAGTAATTTTAATCACTTACAATATGCAATATTTAACTTACTCTTTGACTTTATTACAAAAAAATAAATAAAATTCATTTAGTTTTTTTTTTTCATTTCATTTTTTACTATCATTCTAGTCCAAAAAAAAGGACAAAAGGTAAATGACGTCCTTTTGTTAAGTTAATGACTTGAAGTCGGGAGTGAATCAAATAGTTCGAAAACTTAAATTAAACTGAACTTGATCTAAAAAGTTAAAAATTCTACTAACCTAAGTTTGACTCACATTGAATTATTTCTAACTTTATCTACGTAGATCAGTTGGTCCTGCACAAAGTTGATGTTAATACATTCATTTTTTGCATCATTTTTTTAGTTAATAAAACTATAAGTTTTTAATATATGTTTAGTGTTTTCAAGGAAGATGTAAGTAATTAGTGAAAAAAATTATTAAGTGAAAATAACTGTCTGCTTGAGAAGCAATTCTCATAGAGTTTGTGACTTTTTCAGTTCCTTTTCTAAGACTCTATTGTTCACACCTCCCTCTGTCTCTTCCTTTTGTTTCACTGACCTGTCTCATCCTGGACTTCCTAAAACAAGTTTACAATATATATAGGTTAATTTATAGTATGGAATGTTAAAAGAATATTGCAAAAATACCCTTTATCTTCCTTCATAAGAAAACCGTATTTCTATACATAAATTTCTGTATCTCTTTTGACACCAGTCATTTTTGAAAACTGCTAAATAGAATGGGGAAAGTGATCTGATGAGGTTGATATGCGTAAGTAGGCTTTTGCCGTTTAGATGTTGGGAAAATATGGTTGTATGTAGGAAAAATGGTGTAAAAAGTAATGTAGGACAAATACAATACATATGCATTGGTTGTGACAAAATAATCTTCCCCTAATAAAATGGCTTGGCCAAGTCTGTAAGAAGGCTGTGTTTATTTTCTTTTAAGGCAGTATCTTTTATCTCATGACTTTTATGAAAATTTGATTTTCAATTGTATATAGAATAAGTTTTACATTGAAAAGGATTATACAAAGTATAGATTAATTACGAATTTAATACATTCAAGTTCTGAAGAGAGACTGTTATGGTTTCTTTAAATTTTGTATGTAAATCAGCTTTATTTTTAAACTCTTTTAACTTCATAGTCAATATTTTAACTTTATAAGACTTTTCTAAAAACTAAGTAGAGTAGTATGCAATGGTCTTTTTCTATGATATATATTAATCTGCAACTTATTTCTTTTTATCCTTTTGATTTTGGCCTTATGAGACTTTTTTTTTTATATAGATTAAAGTATTTTTTTTGTTTTCTATTTTTTAATAAAATTTCTTTAAAAAATAGTTCAGTTCAAACTCATTATCAAAGTATTAACATTGAAGTTTTCATATTTTTTCTCTTACATTCTGTTTATATATTCTTTCTTTTTATCCTCTTTTCTTTTCTTAATCACATCACCTATATTGCATTTTTTTTACTTTTATTTGCTTCATCCTTTTCTTCTATTTAATATTTCTCTCCTTTCTTCACCCATTTGGCACCCCATGATAGAGTATAAAATTATCATTACATATTTTCAAAATTTAATTAGAATGTATTGATAATATAATTTCTTTTACATCTTCATCATGTTTTTTGTCAGTTAGAAAGACAAGTATATATTAGACGGAGAATATTGTCATCTAATCTTATCTAACTAATTTCTAAGATTATTGACTTTTGTTATTAATTGTTTTAAAGGTTATATCTAGAAACTCTTATTTTTTTTTATTCTTAACTTCTCTTTAGGTTAGTTGTAACTGTAAGAGAAATGCCTCAACTTTTGAGCTTCCCTATATATATACACATGTTGAAAATTGAAGTCTAAGTTCTATATATGTGGATATGTCAATATGTACCCTCCTTGTTTACAACTTAAATATTGATGGGACGAACATTGCTGATGGATACTAATTCTAATAAAGTTGAAAGGAGGCTCTTATATTTCTTTAGTGGTGGATGTTCCTTGTACTTTGATTTATACTTTATAGGGATACTATATAAGGATGCAGCCTGTAATTGACTTCTGGATAAATCATCATTTTGCAGGATTTTTTTAGAATACACACATGCACACACCCTAATTGACTTCTGGATAAATTATCATATTTTAGGGTTTGTAGAGCACAACACATGATTTAGCTAGTGTCTATATGAAAAAGCAACTAAATTCTCTATCGCAACGATTAGCACATATTGTATGGGATCAATTTGATAGGTCGTAGCACAATTAATGAATCACTTTCTTCAACCAAAAACATGTAAAAGCAGCACCATAGTTTGTGATTCTAGATTTTATTTTTGTATGCATGTATTCTTCCCTTGATCATGTGCTATTAGTCCGAAATTTCCAATCAGATATGCAATAAAGTTAGAGGCCGTAGTCTGCAACATGCGATTCCATTTTATGCTTTCCTCCAAATGTATAACTCCCATGCACTGTAACATGCTCTCTGCACGATATTAATTTGTAGGCCATATAAATATTTATATAAAGCGACATGCAATTAGGAAATTGAAAATTGAGACTTGAATTTATCACTGAATTATCTATCACAACTTCTGTCAGCAAAATTTCAGTCCGAAATTATTGACAGTTTAAGTTAGTGCATGCTATGCTAATTCTTAGATTTTAGTATGTACACGAATTATCAAAATTGGTGTTTCTATATCTTATTATACCCTTTATTAACCACTAGAATCAGCTTAGTAACAGGAGATAGAATCAGCTTAATAACAAGAGATTGAGGTAGATACATAAGAACTTAAGTTTGATATTCGTTGCCACTATTTGAATACTTTTACTGATTATATCATGTACATGTAACCTTCACATGCCATACATGGTTTAAACTGCTATCTTGTACTAGTATCATATGGAACCTTTAATTTCCTTTCTGATTGTCTCATCTAATATATGCAGTGGGCACATTTCCCTCACATTCACTTTGGATTAAAGCTGGATGGCAATAAGCAAGCAAAGTTGGACCAGGGTGATGGTACTCAAAAGTCTAACGGATTTTACTGATTATATATATAAACGGAAGTTTATGATTATCAGCTGGTTTTTTCTGTGCTTGACCTAAATCAGTGAAAAATGAGGTTGATCAAATTTCCCAATCATACCACTGGATGGGAGACTCTCCTGATGATTGACCTCAGCCTCTCACCCATCTTTAGTATATATCTATATATATAATATTGTATGTGTTGCCCTTTTCTAGTTGTTATGAAATGATTGCTATTCTTGTGATTGCATTAATTACTACGTTATTGAACTTATTAGGCACTCAAGTATTTAAACATTATAAGTTCCTTCTATTATAATAATGAGTCTTTTTAATTAGTAATGATCTATATATGTATATCTTTCTCTTTTGGATGATTCCGTCTCAACATATATCAAAGGATCATTTTATTCTTTTGATGATAAGCGATGAAGCATACCATGTGTCACTCTCTCATCCTCGAGGAGGACCACTTGAACAGTGCTTTCCATCTTTGAGATGGTTACCATTTGACCCATCTTTGGGTATATGGTGCTTCATCCAGAGGAACAGTCTTTTATCCATCATGTTTCTGTTTCATGAGTTTTATTTTTTATTTTTTATTTTTTTCCCTTTTTTTGGAGGGTGTTGTTCTTAATACCTTGGAGTTTTGCGCTGTGGGGCTATCTGAACAAAGCGATTCCAAAACCACCCTCCTAAAATAAATAAAATCAAATATATGTAGCTGTAATTGTTAATATATATTATTTTCTCTCCCTCTCTTGATTGATTCTTTTGTTGTTCTTCCTGAACCGTCTTGTTCAGTTAATGCGGTGCAGCCTTCTGAAAGGAACACCATACTGTGCAGGAGTAGCATGCATGTCTTCTTCTGTCACGTTCGCAGAAGTCTATTTTCTTAATCGAGTAATTAAATTTTTTTAAAGATTTCAAACGTTTTTGGATAAAAGTCAATTTTAAATTTTTTTAAAATTTTAAATTTTTTTAAAATGTAAAAATTTAATTTTCTTTTTATTTTTCTCTCTTCTTTTTTAAAGTCAATATAAAAAATATTAATAATTTTTTTAATTATTAAATATTTAAATTTATTAAATATTATCTAATATTAGTTTTTAAAGTATTAAACAATTAAAATTGATTAATATTTAATTCTGTAAAATTTAATCTTAAAATTTTAATATATATATATATATATATATTTAAAATCAATTTAATTCATAGTTGAAATTTAATTGTGCTATTTGAATTAAAAATAAAAAAAATAAGTTATTCAAACAAAATATTTAATAAATAAAATCAAAATAATTCAAATTCTAAAAATTTAAAATTCTTATAATTTTTAAAATTTCTCATCTAGTCGCATTATTAAAAATTCATCGCATTTCCCAAGTTTTCAGAAAAAAAAAAAAAACAATATTAACTTCATCGAAAAATCTTAACGGCTACTTTATTTTCACCGCAGTCTACGTTAGAAAACGGAACAATTTATGAAGTTGGTTTATTTTTATATGTCATGACTCATGAGTGGTAATAGCTAATGCACGAAATATATAATGAGCATTGGACAGAAAACATGGTCGATCGTGCATCAATAAAGGGGGGAAAAAAGTACATGTACTATTTCACTATTGAGTATTTCTGTTTTTCTATTCATAAATATTTAGGTTTATAATATTTTTCCAATATACATTTATGTCTACATTAAAAGAGTAAAGAACTTATATATATATTTTTTTTAAATTGTGTGTTTTTTCTCCGATAAATATACTATTCAGAAGAATTTTTTACTAAAATAAATTTTTTTTTAAAAAAAATTACCAAAAAAACATCTGTACCACTTTATTTACCCAAATATAACCTTTTACTGTTCATGTTCAGAATTCGGTTCCCGTGGAACCGAATTCTGAGCTATTAATTTTTTTTTTAATTTTTTTTTTGCGTTTTTGGACCTGAGAATGGTGTAAAACTGGAATTGGAACGGCCCGTTCTGAATGGAGAACGGGCCGTTATCCTTGCAGCACAGACCGTGCTGCAAGGAGAACGCCCGTTCTGTAAGGAGAACGGTCCATTCTCCATTCAGAACGGGTCGTTCCGGATGCAAAAATACATACATGACGAATGCATCAAAACGGACCGTTCTACTTGGACGTTCCAATTTCAAAAAATAACAGATTATTCGTGCAAGCAGAACGGCCCTTTCTGCTTGGAGAACGGGCCGTTCCGGTTGCAATATTTACCCACAACCCGAACTACAAACAGAAAAGAAAAAAGAATTTAAACACTTCTCAGAATTCGGTTCCGGGAACCGAATTCTGAGCTAAAAAAAAATAAAATTTGAAGTTCAGAATTCTGTTTTCCGGGAATCGAATTTTGAACATGAACAGTAAAAGGTTCTATTTGGGTAAATAAAGTTGTACAGATACTTTTTTGGTAAATTTTTTTTAAAAAAATATTATTTTAGTAAAAAATTCCTATTCATAATGTCTTAAAGTTAACAACTAGAAAAATAAAAATTCATTCATTTTATAAAAATAAAAATAATACTTAAAAAATTATAAAAATAAAAAATAAAAACTTTTACAAACACTAAAATTAAAATTTATTTATTATAGACTAAAATCATATTTAAATTTTATAATTGTTATTTAAATATTCTCTTATTTAATATTAACTAAATGATTAAAATTTCACTAAGAAAAATGTGACATGAAATGAAAGGATGCAAACCCCTCTCACATAATTCCCTTTCCTTTTCTTTACCGGCGTCACATCCCCTCCCATTATTGTCGGCGCCGCTCCCTTTTCCTTTTAAATTTTTTTTTTCCACGTTTTACAGATTTGTTGGAAACTTCTAGAATGAATAATAACGTTCTAAAAATTAATTTTCTCATTTAAAATGGTACGTGAAGACTTCAGAAAATTAGTTTGCACACACAAGACTTGAACACACTTTGAAATGTGATGTCACAGTGCTGTAGCCACTCAAATAACACCGGGTTCATGTAACTCTTGTCTTCACTTGCTGCAACAATTACCTACTATTGTGTGTTGGCCTTTAATGCTTCGCATAAAGTTGAAATTTTCCCTTCAAAAAGTAAATTTCTGAAAGTGTTAAAATTTTAATATTTTCGTTTTTAAAATATGTTAAATTCTAATGCTTCCAAAATGTATTTAATACATTTTGAAAACTAAATACTACAACACCTAAAAATTCTCAAAAATAAATTCCAAAAATTAATTTTTGAAAAAATATTCTTATAAAAAATGCAAAAAGATCAAAGAGAAGTGAAGAGAATATAAGGATGTAAGTAAAAGAATCACAATTTTTTAATGTCAGATCTAGAGATGCCACCGGTGTGGCAGATATAAGTGTTAGCCTTTCACTACTTGCGGGCACCCATTAAATAGATATGTGGGAATTTTTTTTATGGATATCTATAAATATTTATTTTAAAAAAACTTATAAATAATTTAAAAAATATTTTAATAATAATTTTTATTTTTTCTAATAATTTAAAAGTCAAAATCTAAATTATTCAAATATTTTAAAAAGAAATTATTAATCAAGGTTTTCCAATTGAAAAACTATATTTGTTTGTTAGTAAAGTACTTTAATGCTATAAGTTTAAACAAATTCAATTGACAAAAATAATTCAATTCCATAAATCTAAAATAAAAGTTAATAAATTTAAAAGTTTAGTATAAAATAAATTAATAAGGTCAAACCTAAAAAGAAATCACTAATTAAGGGGTCAAATTTAATTTTAGTCATAGAATTATGAAATAAGTAATACTATAAATTTTTAGACAAAACCTTATTTAATTTGACTTATTTTCACTGCGACCAAAAATATCATATGCATTTATAAATTAATAAATACCTATCTATATATAAATTTTTGCATGTAAACCGAGCTAAAGCTTAAAAAATTCAAGAAAAAATTATTTAGAGAGATTTTGAGTGTTTTCCTTCTATACCCATATCCTATATTTCCTTCAAACTCTCTCAACACTTAATATTAGAATTTTTTTCTATAAATTAATAAATAAATAAAATTAAGAACTGTGTCCTTCGAACAACATGTACAATTGGTTTAAAGGATAAAAACCAAATTTTATGTGCATTTATGCACAACTTTTGATGTTTAAAGTTATACATATATCTTTATCGTTGGGAAAAAAAACCAATATTTTTTACTAGAGATTTTAGACGGATTTTCAATTTTTTTTCGAGACTACAAATAAAACTAAGTCAAATAAGACTTTGATAAACTTAAATTTGACCTATAACAAAATTATGAAACATATGATCTAATTCAATACACAAAATCATCATATATTTACAAAACTTTTCAAATAAACTACAGATGCTAATATTTTATTAAAAATTCCCGTAATTTTTCTATGAAGAATTTTTTAATAAAGCATAAAATTTCAAATTTTACTTGGACACTCAATTTTAAAATTTTCAGAAAATATAATAATTTAGGATTAATATTACGATTCTTAACAAGTAATATATATAATTTGTTCATTGATCTTGTCTAATGCATGCCCATAATAAATTTATGGTAACTTTTGAAATTGGTCATACATAATATAATTAATAATTGGTGTAGGTGTGCAGAATAATATTGGATGGCACATGCAGATAGAGTTTGTTCTTCTCACGAATCCATGAAGTGGCTATAGATACACATTGGTTGAGTAATGTTGACAAGACGTATACATGTTTAACACAGTGGTCTGAGTGGAGTGGGCTCTATATGGTCAAAACGCGCATGCTATGTGGAAAATAAATCCAACTATTTTGTGATGCCCTCAATCTAATGGGGTCGTCACTGTCTCTCAATCATCATATTCAATCCTACATTCAAGGGACGCACACTAACCCCCTAATTGTCGCATTAAATGAACTATCAATTGATTATGTTATGTGCAAATGTGCAGTTGTGTATGTATCTATAAATCATCTTAAATATGATTTTAAAATAATTATTATAAAATTTAGTACAGTTTCGTTTTAATGTTGAAGAAAATATGAAAATAAATCTGAAATAGAGGTGTTTTGAAATAATTCTTGAGCATAAGACAATAATATATAATAGTAGTACTAGTAGCTGTTTGTTGAATATTATATTTATATATGAGGATGAATAAGAAATGAAAATAGTAATGGGCAGGGGCTGGGGACGGAAGAAATTGTGAAAGAAGTAGAGATTGTCAGGTGGGATAAGGTTAAAAGTAGAGAATCTGAAACGTCAAATCAGACAGGTTGGTGGGTTAATTGGATGCATGTGTGTGTGGCAATGCATGGATCTT